ATATGTGTTTTTAATTTTAAAATAAAGTGTACTTTTAGCCACTTTACTGGTTCCTGATCTTTAATCCAGAAGTGAAACATCACGGAGACCTGACAAATCACACCAATCTGAGAGTGTTGGAAATACCTACTGAGTTCAGAGCCGACCTTAAGGGCTCTTTAATTTGTGAGTGTCCTCTATACTTCTATGCGGATACCACATTATACAGTCTATGCTATGTTGCTTTTATATATTTTTAACAGGTTCCATTTAGCCTCCTTTTATTGCTGCTAATTATATCTAACATTTGTGCGCTATCACCTAATTTGTACTCAGGATTTTTATGTCAGTATGTCTGTTTGTATGCATGCATGTATATGTATGTCAGTATGCATGTCTGTATGTATGCATGTCAGTATGTCTGTCTGTATGGTGTATGTATGTCAGTATGTATGTGTATATATTTCAGTATGTATGTATGTCAGTGTGTGTATTTGTATCTATGTGTGTGTGTCTGTATGTCCTTATGCATGGGTGTGTGTCTGTATGTATGTTAGTATGTGTCACTATGTATGACTGTCTGTATATGGGTGTCAGACATTCATACACACATATAGGCATACATACTGTTTCAGTATGTGTGTATTTGTGTGTGCGTGTATCTGTGTCCTTTTGTATCAGTGCGTGTGTTTGTGTCTGTGTGTGCATTCCTGTGGGTGAGATCTGGGGGGGGGGCTGGATTTGGAGGCGGGCCCTTGGGGCATGCTTGGAGCTGTGTTAGGGCCCCTAAAATTTCTGATGGCGGCCCTGCCACCGGTTTATCGAACAATCCACGCAATCTGGCCCTACAGGGCTCTCAACACAAGGGACAATTTTCTCCAGGCCCCCCTCAAAGCCCCGGATTTAAAGCCTCCACACTTTTAGAGGACGGGCAGCTTTCAGGGCACAGCAGTAGTCCAGCACCCCCAAATGGTGGAAGGGCATTAAAACATGACCCTGCGCAACAGGTACTCACTCCAGTCTCCATTTCCAAATGGTAAACATAAGGCTCACCGTATGAATACAAGCTGAGTGGGGGGGGACCAAAACAGGAAACTGCCATCTTTATGAGATCTCATGTCGCAGCCAGAATTTCAGATTAAGAGCTGTGGCAATCCCCACAGGTTGGGGTGGAGAGGATGGGACTGGACCGCCATCCGCCTCACAGTTCGGACAGTGCAGTTCCTCAGACTCTGTTTTCTGTAAGAGCAAAGCAGCTGGTGGCTTGCTGGAGCACACAAGTTGTAGGCCGTTAGTAGCAGAGGCATCCTGGTATCCGTTGCTGCTGGCTTCTGACCAGGAGTAATGAGTTGTAGGGTGATACCTCTACAGACGAAGGTCATCATCCAGGGCTTAAAGGACCACTCTAGGCACCCAGACCACTTCAGCTTAATGAAGTGGTCTGGGTGCCAGGTCCTTCTAGGGTTAACCCATTTTTTCATAAACATAGCAGTTTCAGAGAAACTGCTATGTTTATGAATGGGTTAAGCCTTCCCCTATTTCCTCTAGTGGCTGTCTCATTGACAGCCACTAGAGGCGCTTGCGTGCTTCTCACTGTGATTTTCACAGTGAGAGCACGCCAGCGTCCATAGGAAAGCATTATGAATGCTTTCCTATGTGACCGGCTGAATGGGCGCGCAGCTCTTGCCGCGCGTGCGCATTCAGCCGACGGGGAGAAGAAGAGGAGGATTGGAGGAGGAGAGCACCCTCAGGGCACTATAGTGCCAGGAAAACGAGTATGTTTTCCTGGCACTATAGTGGTCCTTTAAATGTGGGGCTTAAGTATCAAATTAGCCCCTTTTTGGCTGCTCAAGATTGGAGCTAAAGAGCATTTATTTGTTCCCTATCTCTCCAAAACCAAGACACCACAGCAAGAAACATGGAGATTACATTACAACGTTTTGGGGCCCTTACAACCCCAATGGCTGTGCTCCTCTACACACACCTAAACACAGATGTCTTACTCACAGGCACATTAATGGACACACAGAAAAACAAACACACACACATACAGAGATACTGATACAAACTGCCAGACAGACTCACAAAGATAATGACTGATAGACATAGTCTCAGGCACATACTAACACATACAAAGACAGACAATGCCACACTTACATTCTCATACACAATGTCACAACACACAGATACACACAAATAGACTAACAATGCAAGACATGCTCAAAAATATGTTTTAAGCCACCCTCTGTTTCCTACATTTTGTAGCAGGAGGGTGGTTTCCCTGGGGTTCAGAGTGGATCTGGCTGCAAATGTTGATGCCTCCCATGCTGCTTCTTCACCTGTTGGGAGGAAGTGGTTATTCATTCCTCGCAGCACTACCGAGCCGGAGGAGAAAGGGAGCTGTCGGCCCTTCCCAGTAGTGACCTGCACAGCAATTTGGCGATGCTGTCTGTTTAGGGGAGATACTTATATCTCCTCAAATGGACCACATATCTCTACAGGGCCCCATGTGGACCTAGCTGGCTTCCTTACTGGGGTACCAACTGTATCCCCTGATTGCAGCCATGAAGACACAGCACACAAGGAAAACAAATATAAAATATGCACTACAAGGACCCTGAAGGCTTTACTAGCAGTTCAGCTTACTGGAAATGGCAACGTTACATTGTAAAAAGAATGTCTGCATTTGAGCATAATGCCCACTTGCAGTAAATACAGTTAAACTGTAGATTTCTAAAATCGAAAGTTCTTTAAAACATCTATAGCAATCTTTATCAATCTCTGGAATGATAATGTAATGGTAACAATAAAATGACAGTGTCTATTCATTCATCCCCCAGCCTGTAGTAGTAATATGATCCATGGAAACCTCCTTTACTGTTTGAAGTTGGGGGGTAGGGGTGGGGTGGAGGATAGCTGACATTTTCTGCAAATGTGCAGTGATTAAACAGTGATCAATGGCTTCTGGCAAATAAATGTGTTCCTCTACAGGCTGGTAATCATTCCTAGAGTATAAATGAATGTGAATTAAGCTTTATGAACTAAATTTCATTCTGCAGAATACATAAAAGAATGTTTATACTTTGTTCTCTGTACAGAGTGCTTAATTCCACTTTATCAATGAGGCCAAGACAGGCCCGGACTGGCCATCGGGCACACCGGGCAAATGCCCGGTGGGCTGCGGTGGCCATGGGCCGAGGCCGGCAGGGGAGGTCCCAGGATCTCCCCTGCCGGTCTATGCAGGGCCGGCACTCTCCTAGCGCCGGCCCCGCTGTATTCCATGGAGGGCCGGTGGGGAGATCAAGGATCTCCCTGACCGGCCCACATGCGGCCGCCGGCGGGGAGGGAGCCAGCCAGCCAGGCTGGAGAGAGGACCCGGCGGAGCTCTAACTTGCAGCTCCGCCGGGTTCCTCTCGCGAGATCCGGCGCGTTACCATGGCAACAACCGGATCTCGCGAGAGTGAACTCTAGCCTCACAGGCTAGAGTTCACTCACCCACGAGGACCACCAGGGAACACTGCCTCCCAGGTGCCAGTGTGCCGGTCGCCCCCTCCCAGGCTAAAGGTAAGAAGGGAGGGGGGGACATAATGCCTGTTTTTTTTTATTTACCCCCCCCTTACACACACACAATAACATTTATACAGCACTCTCACACCCATCACACACAGCACTCTCTCACACAGCACTCTCACACCCATCACACACATCACTCTCACACCCATCACACACAGCACTCTCACACGGCACTCTCACACCCATCACACACAGCACTCTCTCACACCCATCACACTCACAGCACTCTCAAAGAGCACTCTCACAGAGCGCACTCTCACACCCATCACACACAGCACTTTCACACACACAGCATTCTCTCACAGCACTCTCACAGAGCACTCTCACACACACACAGCACTCTCTCACACCCATCACTCACACACGGCACTCTCACACACATCACACACACCACACACATCACACACACCGCACCCTCACACGCACACATACTGCACCCCTCACATACACACAGAACCCCCCCAACACACTGCACCACACACATACACAATACTTCCAAATATATATATATATATATAGATATACATATATACACACACACACACACACTACACTCTTAAAGGACCACTTTAGCCACCCAGACCACTTCAGCTTAATGAAGTGGTCTTGGTGCCAGGTCCTTCTAGGGTTAACCCATTGTTTTATAAACATAGCAGTTTCAGAGAATGGGTTAAGCCTTCCCCCAAAGCCTCTAGCAGCTGTCTCATTGACAGCCGCTAGAGGCGCTTGCGTGCTTTTCACTGTGAAAATCACAGTGAGAGCACGCAAGCGTCCATAGGAAAGCATTATAAATGCTTTCCTATGCGACCGGCTGAATGCGCGCGCAGCTCTTGCCCGGCGCTGGAAAAAGGTAAGTTTTAACCCCTTTCCAGAGCCGGGCGGGAGGGGGTCCCATTACACCACAAACACAACACGACTAAAACCGACCTTATTACACAATACCACACCACGACCAGCTCACTCTGCACACACTCAATACCACAAGCAGGCTCCAAACACATGCACAATACTCTTTCCTGGCCTTTTGTCTCCTGGTATCCATTTATAGAGACACCAGAGACAAGTGGCAAGGAAAAACAGTGCAAGCATGTTATTAAATTTGCTTGCACTGTGCAGAACAAATACAGGACTTTTTTCTCATGCTAGAGCTCTTCAGCAGAGCTCTGCGCATGGTCTGCCCTGGAAGAGCATTGAACCAACATGCTCACTTTGAGAGGAGGCGTGTTTGTCATTGGTGATGACAAAACACACCTCCTCTGCCCCGCCCCCTTTTTAGTGGGCCGCTGTGTTAAAAAAATGCCCGGGCCGAATTTCTCTCCCAGTCCGGCCCTGGGCCAAGATGAGGGTGATCTCTTACATCAAACCATTCCATCAAACCATCCTCAAACAGTTTGATATTAAAGGACCACTATAGGCACCCAGACCACTTCAGCTTAATGAAGTGGTGTGGGTGCCAGGTCCACCTAGAATTAACCCTGCCTGCTGTAAACATAGCAGTTTCAGAGAAACTGCTATGTTTACATTAAGGTTAATCCAGCCTCTAGTGGCTGTCTCATTGACAGCCGCTAGAGGCGCCTCCGCGCTTCTCACTGTGATTTTCACAGCGAGAAGACGCCAGCTTCCATAGGAAAGCAATGACAATTGCGCATTCAGCTGATGACGGCGAAAAGGAGGAGGAGAGTTCCCCGCGCTGAGGGAGCCCAGCGTGGGACAACAGGTAAGCTTTAACCCCTTCCTCCCCCCAGAGCCCGGCAGGAGGGGGGCCCCGAGGGTGGGGGGGACCTAGAGACCCTATAGTGGTCCTTTAAATCAGGCAACTGACCTAGCAAATGGAAATACGGTACTTCTAAATCAAAAATAAATTAAACTTTGTATTGTAACAATTTAAATCTGGAATGTATTTTTGTTTTCATGCACAGAATTATCGGCCCCATGTGGATACAGAATATTTCATACATAAGACAATGGACAAAGATCTGGACAGTGATATATTCGGGGACTTTTTGTAGCACCAGGACGAATCATAATGAGTTTATTGTAAAATTCTCCCAATTAGCGGAAGTCTTCCACAATGATTGATAGTTAATTACAAAATGATAACTACAGTAATATAACACTGTTCCCTTTTCCAAACATTACTGAATTTCATGATCAAAAATGTGCAGAGTCACATGTTCTCGTGATAAAAGCAGAAGTATTATGGACGTATTATCCTGTGTTGGTTATAGGGCATATTGTTTTTTTGTTGATTTGGGCATTGAGGGTGAAAGCCACCGCTGGTACTCCATGAACTCCAAGGTGGCACTCACTGACAACAGGGTAACCATTATATCTGGAGAAAGTGGAGGTGTTGCACCCTTAACCTCTTCACTACTGAGCAATGTTTCATTATAAAAAATAGCATAACATGCACAGAATTATTGACCCCGTATAGATACAGAATATTTAATACATGAGACAATGGACAAAGATCTGGACAGTGATATATTCGTCAAAACCTATGTGTCAAAGTAACATTGACATAAATATCAGTATTCTGAGCAGAACATTGGTCAGAGCATAACACTGTCTCCGCTGGCCTGCCTTCTTCCCAAAGTGCATCCTGCTGCCATCTCTTCCTCAGGTAAACAACGTACATAAACCCAGCCTCGCACCTGATTCAAAAGAAATTGTGATTCATTAGACCAGGCAAACTTCTTCTATTGCTCCATGGTCCAGTTCTGACGCTCGCTTACCCATTGAAAGCGATTCGGGCATTGGACAGTGGTCACTCTGAATGGTTTGTGACTTTTCAGCCCTGTACGCAGCAAACTGCAGAACAGTGTGTACTGACACCTTTCTATTGTGGCCAGCATTACATTTTTCAGCAATTGGAAATACAGAAGCTCTTCACGTGCATCAATTAGCCTTAGGTGACCAATACCCTGACGTTGGCTCACTGTTTGTCCTTTCCTGCACCACTTTTGGTAGCTACTAACCCCTACATACTAGTAAGACCACACAAGAGTTGCCGTTTTGGAGAAGCTCTGGCCCAGTCGTCTAGCCATCACTATTTGGCCTTTGTCAAAGTCACTCAGATCTTTTCACCATTTCTGACTGCTTCCAACACACAACATTCAAGAACCCTTCAGTGGTTTTAATGTTGTGAGTGATTAGTGCAGGTATTTGTAAGGGCCTTGATGTCATTAGTAGCAGTACAGATTACAGGAAACGGCAACCTCGTAAAAAAGAATGTCTTCATTTGAGCAATATGCCTACATACAGTAAATACTTAGAAAATGACATTATATCATAAATAAGCAAGTCGTACATGTATATCTTTTTTTATTTATATTTTGGTGAAAGTAGTTTTTTCCCCCCTTTATGGCACAAAAGAGGAAATGCTTGTTTCTAAAAATAATATTAGATTGTGAAACGTGAAGTATATACTGGAAATACTGACAGCTAAGACAATATACTCAAAATATATTTATAGCAGAGACGGAACAAATCTGACTCACATGAGTAACATAGTTTTTGACACTGCTATTATAGTGCAAAAGTTTACAGTTTGATTCTTAACTCATTATAACTCATCATTCTGTGAAAAAAACCAACAACCTCTGAGTCCAATGTCAAAACTGTCTGAAACACTCAATAAATTAATTTCTGAAAATTCCTCGTAACAGGATGTGCCAGGTACACCGAGATTCACGTCACGGACGAGGCCCAAGAATCTTGGATCCCCCGTGTGCTTGTTGTCAGCCCGAAATCCAATTGGTCTAAGTTTCCGATAACAAAAATAAAATGAGCTAACACTCGCTTAAAAAAAAAACGTTTCCACTATTTATTACTTTTATGACTTTTCTATCATTTTATTTTGTTTTGTATGGCGCGTTCTGCTTATTAACATTTCTGCTTTTGTCTATGCTATTCTCATACACCATTTATTTGAGTGCAGAAAGTGAGGTAGAATACTCACAGAATTGGGGAGATTTACTAAATTGTTGTGTGCTGAAATGTTGCGTGAAGATGTAAAAGGGGAGGAGTCATCAGTTGAATGTGTCTGTTGGTTTTATAGAAACATAGAATGTGACGGCAGATAAGAACCATTCGGCCCATCTAGTTTGTCCAAATTTCTAAATACTTTCAAAATGGTGATTGCCCTATTTTTACTACTTTACACCATTTAAAAAAAGATAAATTATCTCCATGTTCTTACCGAACATAATTAAGTGTAAATAATTTGTCAGAATATTTGACCAATATTTTTTCTCCTAAAATCTGAGGATTTTTAGAATTTTTTTTTCTTTTTTTTAGAATTTAATTCATACATTTGCATTTCTCCAGCCAATTTTAAGCAGACCCCTTTTCATCATTTCTGGAAAAGGGAAAATTAAGTTTAATTTTGACGTGCTTATTTTTCTTATTTCCTGTGGTTTACTCAATCCTTCAGTCCATCATGTTTTATTCTGACTGATAATCAGATATTTTATTTCCTAAATCACAGTACAGCAGACTCTGCTGCTGCAAACGACTAATAATAATCATATTTCACTTTTCAGTGGCGCCTCCTGTACTGTGTGGTTTGTTTGTGATTGTGTAAGTGACAGTCATGTGTTTCAGACAATGAGGCTGTGTGTAGCCTTGCAGTTACCACGCATCAGTGTGACTAACTGTGCGATCAGAAGGTGTTTAAAGAAACCTTGTGAAAAATTTTTCCCTTGAGCAACACTAACCACGTGGTTCTATTGTAGCGCTGGAAAAACAGTTTTCTGTTTGTTTTTTTATTTATTTTTTGGTCTGTGAACATATTAAATTTAGTCTATGTAGGTACCTGGAGAATGATTCTGTAGGCTCCTTTGTGATATTTTGGGGTAACCACCTGATTCTAAACTTGACTACACTAGTTGTTTGATGGAAAAAAAAATTAAAGTTTTGATCCTGTTAACATTAGAAAAATGGTGCCCCTAGATCTGGCTTCCCCAAACTTCAGCCCTCCAGATGTTGCTGAACTACAACTACCATGATTCTATGAATGAAATAGATAGGCTGAGAATCATTGGAGTTGTAGTTCATCAACATCTGGAGGGCCAGAGTTTGGGGAACCCTGCCCTAGATGATAAATAGCAAAACTATTGAAACCCAGTATCATAATGCAGTAGTAATATATGGACATTTTAATCTTATCTAGCATACTCTAATAATGTGAGTATAAGAAAAATTATTATATTGCAGTTTTCCAGCCTGTTTGCACATAAGAGAGCTCTGTCTATAAAATGGAACAATTACAGCGAGTGTAATATTAATCACCACTAGATTAATCTCTATGAACATACATTATCATACAGACCAAGCATAAAGTTTGCCAAATATATCACGCCTGGACACATTTCACTGCTGCCTGTGATTGGACAGACACAGAAAGTGTGGGTGGGGCTAGAAAGGGAGGGCTTGCAAAGACTGCAGACCATGAGAACTGAATCTCTTGCAAACTGTTTTTAGATATCTACTGAATTGTTAAAGACCTTTAGCATAAAGCACTTCAGCTTGCTGAATTGTTTTATGCCTTAAAAGTATTCCATTTTAAAGCTAGTTTATAAAAAAAAAAGTGCAGATTTCTTTGAAAAAGTGGCGTTTTTATCATTAGATTTAGAAACACCTCCCTGGCTGTCAGAGTTAATGAAAGTGGCAGTAAACTCTACTTCACCTGTCTTCTCCACCATTGGTGCTTATAGACCTCAGACTAGTGACCCGCAGCTCCTCCACAGACCTCAGACCTGACGCATGCGCGCATTGGGCACAGATTCAGATGCTTCTCAGTTAGAAGCATGTATTCATTGGGGACATATCAACTAAATCGCATTTGCTTTTTTTTCTCTACTGTGTAGTGTTTTAAAAACAAAACAAAAAAATAAATAATTTTAGTTTTCCTTTAATTAGAGAACTGGATCCTCTGCTGCAGTGTATGAATGCTGCATACTGCAGGGCATCACTTTTCATGTGCTGTCCATAATAAAGAACATGTTATCCCTACAGGAAAAGCTCACATAAGGCACCAAACTGTGAAATAACTTTAGTTCTCAACATATTTTATCTGGTCTCAGCTCTTAAAGCTTTACATTTATCATAAAATGAATGCTGCATTTAATAGTATTCACCTCCTTCCTGGCATGCCAACACCGCCATGACAGAAGGAGATGTGAGATCTGCTTACTACAGGACTAATCACAGCAACTACAGCATAATAAATTAAAAACTATGTGTAGTTTCCTGTCACTCAGTTATTTCATTTAGGCGTCACAGAGGTCTATGCTGAGAATTTATTGACAAAAGAGGGGCCAGATTTTTTTATAGAATTTTAGGAATATCTGTACATTTGCTAGCAATTCACCTTGCCTCATTTATTGATGAAATGTTGCCCTCTCTCTATACAATGTTGTATATACTATGCCAGATACATTTTACATGTGCTTGTAGTTTTGCGTTCTAACTCCCCAATAGTGGAACTTGACCTAAACATTGATTGGCTTAGACAGCGGCAAACGATGATCAGAGATACATTGTGAGCCATCAAAGCCGTATAACAATGATTCAGAGTTTTCTTTAAGCTTCTCAAGTAGTTCAAGTATTTCCTTCCCCTGGGCCTCCAACTTTACTTAATCTCCCATCAAGCAATGCACAG